AGAGGTCTGAATGATTGTGGATAGGCTCGTGGCCGCCGGCCCGGGGACGAGCCGGGGGACTCGCTGGGAGGGGTCTGGAGACACCTCTTGTCTGCACAGGGACTTGGATGGCACAGCGGCCTCCGAAATACCCTGCATGCTCCCCGGAGCGTGGAACGGGAGCCAGCCGCCTCCCCACTGCTGAGAGCCTGGATTATCCCGGCACTTCCCAGCGCAGCAGCTGCCTGGGTGAGACACGGATCTGCAGGTCTGCAATGGGCCAGAGTTCTCAGCCCACGCACCTTCTACGCTGTAGTTTCCCGGAAATTTTTGCAGCTCACCCAAGTGCTCTCGCCAGGCCTGTGCGGTGCCTCCTCCCCTCGCCGGCGGCTCCCTCCCGCCCTGCCCACAGCAAACCCCGATGCTGACGAGGGCATAGCTGCGTGTTGCCCCGATACCTTGGCAGCAAAGCTGTCAACTAGCTTAGAGCTGGGGCATGAGGGAGCTGAGGTTACTTCAGTGAAAGGCGTCAGTTCTGGCTCCCGTGTCAGTGAAGGGGGACTGGGTGTCATGGAGACTTGTGATCAGCTGCGTCCTGACCCCATTTCAGCTTTGGCATTGCCCTCTACAAAGACTTTACAGCCATCATCTTAGCAGAGGGTGTCTAAAGTGCCGCTGACAGCAGCTGCTGCAAATACAGGCCAGGAGAAGGTCATGCAAGAGTCAGCAAGGCGCGTGCCAGTTCGAGGAACAAGCCGAGAGAGAAACCTGCCAAGAAACACTTTGATTATGTGCCCACGGGCACACACAGGCGCACACAGAGGAAAACATGCAAGTGCTTGATACAGACTTTCTTGTGCTGATTAATTCAATAAAACCTTAGTCCATGCTTGTTCCAGAAATTCAGGGGCTCAACAGACATTCATGACTCAACAACAAACCTCTATAAACTCAGTAGAACAATAGCAGGAGTTATTTTATATCCTCAGGGCAAAATATAAACAATTCCAAAGACAAAACATGCACATCCAAGGCATTTCTGAACAAGGAATAACACTATCATCAGTAGGGCACTGTGGTATTAGCCCTGTTCTATTCTTGTGTTGTGACTTAACCACAAGTTCACGTCTGCATACATCTACACAACTAAGTGCTGAATAATTATCTTTACAATTTAAAAATTCCCCTGGCAGCTTCCTGTAAAGTTTCTTTCAAAGATGAAGTTGTTGCTTTATATTTCTGGGAGGAAAAAAAATGTCACTTCTCCATTTTCTGTATGCATGAAATCAAGGTGGGTGGGTTTTCACTGCAGACTCACGTATTCAATTAATAAAGCATGTGATCAAAATCAGAACACCTTCATGCACCAGGACAGTTAAGAAAGCCTCTGCTCTGAAACCAATACTCAGTAATTTACTGTCTGAATGTGGACCTCTGAAAGGGAGCACAATTCTACAAGCCCAAGTCTCCTGCATAAAGAGGTTGTTATTGTTTTATACCATTTAATGGTGGATTTGTTTCTTTTAAAATGTTTCTAAATCTACACATTTAAAATTAAATCCTAATAATTGTGCAAAGTAAATGTAACCATTTCCGTGATGCCAATATGCTGGAATTTCTTACTGAAGAAAGCAATTCTTAAAAGGTAAAATTTTAGGTATATGACACTTCTAAATGCTTATTTACCTCTTGCTGAAAGATCCCACATTTTAAACACAGTGCTAAGACACTACATCACGGAATTTGATTCTTGACCACTCTAGTCAAGTATAATCCACATTACAGTCACTGGTATATTACATTCCTTAAGGCATATATATTTACTCAAAAATCAAGTATAATCAATTATATTTGTCAAGAAGAACACTGTATATACTATTGCAGGCTTGAACCTGCAAATCTCCATGCAGATGAGACAACCCATTTTTGCATCAATCACTCCTGAAAACCTATTCATGAGCATCTGGCAGCAGCATCACTCCAGACTGCTGTGCAATAAATATGTCCCTGCTCATTGTAAATCAGTGAATCCCATTTTCCACAAGGGAGAAACCCAGAGATGCAGTAAGGAGGCCGTGTTTCCTACGGTGCAAGGACAGCACGGGCACCAGCATGCCTGGGGGTTGGTACCCAGCATTTCAGTCACCGCAGGGGCAGGACAGACAGGAAAGTTTCTACAGAACTGTGAGACAAAACAGGAAGGTCTACAGTAGAGTGTCATGCCACTGTATTTGTTTACTGCCAAATACAAGGTAGGACATTCACTAGAGTAACAAATCATGATGTCTTGGGTTTTTTGTCTTGCAGCGCTGGAAATAATTGGTGGTGGATCCCTATTGTTGCACCTATGCTGGGAGGTGTACTTGGAGCAATGATCTACATTGTTTTTATTGAAATTCATCACTCGGATTCTCAGCCAGGAGAAGAAAATGATGTGTATGATAAATACGAACTGACCAATATGGAGTAAGAAGTGAAGAATTTTCTCTTTCATTTTGTTGTGCAATTTTTACACAAATGATTGTTTGGACCATTTTATAAAACCTCTATGCATCAATTAGATATTCACATTTCAAAGAAAATGCATATAGAAGACAAGTTCAAAACTGACCTCTTGCCATGAAACATTACACCGATCACTGGAGACTTGGGGGTGGGAAGGGTAAATTGTTAGAGTTTTTATATGGCTTTCAGATCAAGTTATCTCCTAGATGAAATCGTAGTGAGATGATGCACTGACATGTTAATTCAACACATATGATCTTAATCACATTGCCTAATTACCTGAAAACAGATGAGATATTGTTACGAAACTGCATGTATAGGTAGTTAATTGGTTTAGTGCTGAATTAATGTGTAAGAGTGTCACTCACTTCTTAGAGCCATTATTTAAGAATTACTTGTCTGAAAATTAAAAACAATACCTGAATTGCTGAAATGTAAATTGAAGCAGTTTTTAATAACTTACTAAATTTTTATGGAGCCAATAACTGAACAGCAAAGAATCAACTCATCACTGATGAGATTTAGTAACCCAGAATACAATCACAACTGGTAAAAACTGTGTGTTAAAGATCAACACCTAAAAGACAAAGCTGCACTTCTGCACAGGTTCTTCATAGCAATAGCGTTCAGTTATTTTTAAACTATTTTCTTGACTTTTATGCTGCCCAATATTAAAAGCCTAACCTAGATTAGTAATCTGAACCTCTTCTGTTTTGCTTTCTGGATGAAATTCATTCCTGTGGAGATAGGCCAGCAGCAGAGGCTTACATTGTGCAGAGGTCAGCACAAGGCCTATTTCTGTATAAGCTTTAAAGAGGCCTTCTGCTGATGATCTACACAGGGGGATTTAATCTGCTTTGTGGGAGTAATTTTTATTTTGGTAGCAGTAATTAAAATTAGAAACTGGTCTCAGAAGTAGTCCTAGATCCGAATTCCTCAAGAAAGGACAGCTCCACTTCAGAGTTCTGGGGCATGGGTTCTCTCTCACTAAAGACAAGTGGTTGGAAATACACCACTTACTAAATATCCAGCCTTGAAAAATGAAAGTATTTCTGCTTAATCATTATGAATTGAATGTATCCAGTTAAATAAAAGCTCATTTCTAAGATGTATACATAAACATATGGTTGATGGTAGTGATCATGAATAAATAGACGTTTTATTCAGTGATGCTGCTGAGCTATTTTCATGGCAAAACTCCAGCGTACCAGTTTAACGCACTCATTTTAGGGTGCTCTTCCTTTGGATTCCTACAGCTCTGCTCCCTAGAATTCCACACTATTTTCTGATTTCACTCCTGAAGGGAGGAACCCTTTGTGTTGCCAGTAAGAGCCCATGCACTTTGGTGAGGTAACCACAGAAGTGGTTTCGAAAACGCTGTGGTCGGAGTCTGCCTCAGCATTTGGGCAGACCAAGCCTGTGTCGCAGCACGTCTTTATCACGCTCCCTGGTACACCACTCAGAATTCATGGCAACAAAGGGATAGGATTAGCCAGTCAAGCAAAGTTCTGCTTGCTGCAGCTGTAAGTCAGATAATGCTGTATACTCAAGAGAGTATAATTACAATTTTAATTATGTTTTTAAAGAAAACTTACAGAACTGTAATGAACAGGTTGCCCAGAGACCATATCAACCCTGTGCAAAGTGCTCATTTGACTGAGCATTTCTTCACTGTGGGTTAGAAACCGATACAGCTATACACATCCACATTTGTGTGCATTGTGCCAGTCCTCAGTCTGAGCAGAGGCAGAGACAGGAGAAGCAAGAGTACAGTGCAGAAATTATTCCTAACTGTAGGCCTTACACTGGCAGCACAGACAAGCCAGTTCCTCTGCCCTGTATACTGATGAATTACACTACATAAAATAAGATGGTGTGTAAAAGCAGATGCAGACTGAGCCTCCTTTCGCTCCCCCTTGCAATGAGTGCCGTCTCTCACCCTTTGGTGATACCGGCAGGAGCACTCCTCAGTGGCTGCCAGCCACCTGTGTCTGGAGAGGGCCTACATGGGCAGGACCAGCCAGAGGGCTGCCCCTCTACCACTGACGCCAACATCTAACATGAAATATCTGTGCAGAAAATAGACAGCTGTTTAACCAGAAGTAACCAATTTTGTCCAAAACATTAGGGGCAGGTTATCACTTACTGTGCTAGAACTTCACATAGTCAGTAGGCTCTATATGCCTCATTATTATATTGCTTCCTTCAATACACCATGGAAAACATGAGGGAAAGCAGAATACAGGTCAGGAATAAGAAAGAGAGAGTTTATTTATACAATTTACTGAGTGACCAGCCCACACTTACTGTGTGTGCACTGGCCAAGGTACATAAAGCTGTACATTTTCTCAAAATCCTTCTGATCACAACAGGTTCTGCCTGTAAATCAACATGAAATCTTGTCTCTACCACTTATGTCATTCCTATGCACTAAATTTCTGTATAAGTGATATTTACTTGTCTGAAGTCACCAACATGAAAGTCATAAGTAGTGACACACTCATGTGATAACATAGTATCTAAAACATGCTCTCAGCAAACTCTGTGTTTGCTTAAAGAGCTTATTTTAAGGCTTTAATTAATCATTGAATATGTTTGTAAATTCTCTGAAGACACATGGCACTAATAACACAATTCATACTGACTTCACAAAAGCAGGATTTCACTCAGGAACAAGCTCTTACAGACCTGTCTCAGATTTGACATAATTTACATTTGTAATTGTAAGAATGAATTCCTGCTTTAGGGGTAAAACTCAGTTGAGTCTTAACTACAGAACCACAACCACATCCATAATATAATGGGAACAGTAACAATCATCTCACGCCATATGCTTACACAGACATCATGATCTGTTTTGCACAAAACAAAAAAGTATTTTTGCTGTGCATCAACTATGCAATTTTCTAATATCAACTGATACTCAGTGGTTGCACTCATGTTGAATTAATATAATTGAGTTGGCAACAAGAAAGTTTTTCCAGCTGTAAGACATTCTGGTTAATGAATTAATAACAGTCAGGCTTGATCATTTTAATGTTGGAAAAAAATTCCTTTTGAGAGCATTGCTCGACTTTCAGCATGTGTTTGTTCTTTCTTTTTTGGGGCAATGTGTTCGTTCCTTAGAGCTAAACTTAGCAGCAAAGTAATCTGGAGAGTGATCCTGCAAACAGTACCGAGTTAAAGGTTGGCTACTGCATGTTGTTCCATAGAAGCCAGTGGAACTTTTCACAACTGGAAGCACTACAGGCAAGGATAAGTGCTCAGAGAATTGAGCTCAGAGTATAGTGGAAACTGCACGTTTCTTGTCGTTTTGACTGTGGATCTGGATGAGTGTGTTGTGGTTCAAAATACATACAGTCGATCCCTAATAAATGCATTCCAGTACTATTTGTATAAAAAAATGTCTCCCCTCTGGCACCTAAGGACATATTAAGAAATAAATAGCTGCCTGTTACGACCTACAACATTTTATAGCCTTGTGCTGGAAGAACACATTGACTAACAAGCTGTATTCCCTCGGTGGGTCAGACGCAGTGCCAGGGCAGAGAGGTGCTCACAGGTGAGTAGTGGCCACTGCTGGCCAGGAGGCAGCAGGCAACCGCGCGGGGCCAGGCCCCTGGCCTCTGCACCTCCTCCCGTGCCTGCCTGCAGCCTGCCCAGGGACGCCTTCTGCCACAGCTTGCCCACCGGGCTATCGAGAGCCAGAACCTAGGCGGGATGTTTTGCTGAAGTCCCTCTTCAGAGACTGCTTTTAAGGCATGCACGTATCACATCTGATCTGGCCCACGGTGCTTACAAAACGCCCCAAGCTATTTTATCTATCTTCTGCTCTACAGATTTGTAACAGGGACATGCTTTGCTCGTTTCCATTACAAAGCACATGAAAACCTGTTCTCTGGGTGCGAGAAGAAAGGGAAAGATTAAGACCTTCAAATTTACTCAGGAAGCCACAAAAGGAAAAAAACAACTATTTGAAGTGGCAGCAGGCATTTTATCCTCCAACCAGCCTGATGACCCTTACCTTCCCATCTAGTCTGACCTTCTGTTCTCCTTTCTTTCTCCTGCCCAGTGTGCAGTCTGTCTCTATACAGTGCATCTCCAGAGATTTAAATACAGCATGCTTTTCTCAGTTACTTCTGAATCTTAGAAAGTTCTCATGAGAGCAAATTCAAGTTTCACCTCACATCCTCGTTTTTTGGCAGTTGCTTACATTTTTCCCCCACTGTTCCCACCAAACAACCTTGTGCTGGAAAATACAACAATTAACTGTAACTTCCAGTAACAGCTGCTTTTTTTCTTTTTAGTACAATTGTTATTACTTCTTTCAAACATGTACAATTTTTAAAGTCTTTGTTTTTCAAACTGTTATTAAAAATAGTGCAAGATCATCCAGGGAAAAAATATTCTGTGCGCATCAGTTAGTAGTTTGAATTTTATCTTCCAGTTTGCACTTACAACTTGTTAAAAAACCATTTATTATTATTATTGTACTGTGAATGTTAGTGTCTTTCTGCTTATTTGCACACTCTAATGGCATAGTCTTAGAGTAGAAAGTGGTAGGTAAATATATTTAGCCATTGGTATTTCTTTGCATATTTGGATCAAATATTAAAGAAATCCATATAGTATGAAGCTAGACATGACATGCTTATATAATTTTTCTCTTTGCTGACAACAACTTCCTTCAAAAGGTGTTACTAAATGAGTATTACAGCACCTTAAATCAGCAATGATCAAGCTTTCTGGATGGATGACCCAGTGAGCTCCTTTTTCATGACAGGGGAGGACAGACTGATACAGTCCCTCTCTGACCTGTCTAGGAACTGATTCTGCTTTAAATTATTAGAAATCAGGTTTTCCTTTCACACTCCAAACATTGTTCCATCCTCCAGAAATTGAGAGTAAGGATCCTGCTACAGGCTACATTGACAAAGTGATAAAGAGAGGAAACTTCAAAAGCTGGTAAAACAAAGCAAGCCCTTTTGGCCAGAGGTCAGCCGAAAGGCTAACTGATAAATGCTTGGTTACTTCAGAAGACACTGTACATTACTCTGGGGATCACGGAAATAAAGAGACAACAAGTATGAAGTAACATCATCAGAAGATTTATCTTGTTGTTCACCTATCAGAAAACTTAAGTCTGCCTTGTATGCAAATTCTAACATTCTCAGTATCACCAGGAGGACCAGTCTGGGCACATTAATACTTCTATTTACTCAGCATTAGCAACATAATAGTCTAATAGGTGAAGAATACTTTCCACACCCTCAGAAATAACAGTACTTCGTTTCACCGCACAACTTCTCAGGAAACTTTGCCTGCCTTACCGTTAATAACAGGGCTGTGAATGAAAAAGCAACAAAGCGAACAATGTGTTAAGACTTGAAAAGTCAGCATCTGAATAGAAGGAAATGAACAATCTCAACCAGAATTGAACAGATGCAACACTTTCTATAGCATGACCAAGGCATCTAATAACAAACATGAAGCCAAAGCAGCAGCACACCCTTGGCAACGAACACTGTTAAATTAAAGAGTTGGGTGTTCTGTCAATGCCTTTTAAATAGATTTGCAAAAGAAACTCAATTTGAGAATAAAAGGACTAATCTGCAGTGGTGTTTTTTTCCATAGTAAAGGAGCAACATTTGATTATTTGAACATTTTCAGATTATTGAAACAAAGTAGAAAAAAAAAGGAAAAAAGGAAAAGTGCAATAGTAATTTTCTTGCATTAATTTCCAGCCCTGTGAACCCTGCTGCAGCCCCTCGCAAGAGGCAGTAAGGACCTTGCCATTAAAACTGCACAATACCAAGACCAGAATTGTTTTATCTTCATTTCCATCTCAGATGTTGAAGACGTTGGCAACTGATGGCTACGCACTGCAGAAAACTTCTACTACATAACCATTCCGCCATCTAAGGAAGAAATCCTGTTTGGCTTCAGAGCAGAAAGAATTTCATTTCATACACGTGTAATCCCCAGTGGGTTCATGTTTTTCAGGCTATAGAATCAACACATGTTTTTGAAGATGCTAGCACTGAAGAACAGCTATCAAACAAAAAAATACATGAATCCAGCTGCCACATTACCGTGGAATCCCAGGGGATAAAGCAAGTGCAAAGGCTACTCCAGCAAATCTTGGGGGAGGAAAGCAATAACACACAAACCTTGAGTCAGAAGCACATTGTCTTCACACCTATGAATAGTCTTCACAGAAGAATGCTTCAAAAGACACAGGTCATTTGCAAATGTAATGTATACCCAGACACCACCAGAACTTCAGAGGTTTGAGCCAAGAAAATGATGGCTGGACAAAATACAGATACGAACACACACACACACACTGCAATCTGCTCTGTCACAAAAAGACCAAATACTGAAAGCCATTATAAGGCCCATTTGCTATCACAGGTGGTTCTTTGAAATTAGAGAAACACAAGAAACTAAAAGTCCTTAAAATGAGGACAAAAATCTACCTAAAATATTCACCCACTTGAAACTGGATCTGTGGCCTTTTCTTCTTCCAAGTCTTTTACCTGGTTTGCTAGTACAACTGGCAGCAGAACTCTAGCTCTCTCTTAGGCTCCTGTCTTGACTGTATGCCACTGGTCTTTCACACCCATTAAGCATCAGGGCCAATCCAAAATATTCCATTTCCATGAAGCCAAAAAAAGCAATTTCAAGACATTTTAAAATGCATACGGTTCCATACAATTTCAAAATGTATACTGTAGTAAACTGGGTTTCCAACAGTTTGTCTAGCAATTACACTCTCTTTCCTTGGCTTTTGATCAGATGTGTGGCCAAGGGAGATCTACAGTACATGGGATTTGGATTTCCCCCAAGGGAAATCCTAGAACAAGAGACATTGCTCAGGCATTGGTGGATTTTAGGTGTTATACAAGATTGACCCTGAGAAACTGGGTCGTTACAGGACAGGATGCATGAATCAGTAAGAATCAGCTTGTCTTCCAGATTCTGGATGGAAAGTGTTTAAGGTTAACAGAGTTCTTATTTGTACATCTGGCTTCAGGTAATTTCATTAGAAATTAGAAAGCCATAAACAAACATATATATCTAAAAAGTACTAAGTAAAATTTACAGTACAGCCATCCTGAAAAAACCCAACACAAAACCTCTCTTTGTATGTAGAAACTTCACTCCATTCCCAAATAGCAAATGTGTACAGTTTCTAAAAATGAAAAGTTGTAGAAGAACTCCTAGGATCTGAGCTTTTTTGATGGTGTTTTAACATTATCATGACTGAAATAACCTTGCTCAAAAAGAATTAGTTTGCTTTACTTTCAAACTTATATTTCCTTAATAGATCTGTAACATCACAGCCTCTGTCTGTGGACTTTGCTTCTGTCATCATTTTCCCTGATGTTCCTGAGGGTGTTCTGCTCTGTTGCAACTTTTCTGAACTTCTCAATTTTTTATTTTTAAAAAAAACCCCACACACAGTCATTTCTGATGTGCTTTTTTTTGGTCTGATAAACACATCCTC